ATGGTTTAGAAATCATGGACTTGTTTTAATGTCTGCCGTTAATGTGGTCAAATTCTAATCACAAGTAGTTTGTATGTAAAGGGTCCAACACAAAACTTTCTTAGTATAAATGGTATTACTACCTTTAGTATAAAGGGTATTACAGCTCAGCATTAGTGTTCATTTGTCCATTTTACCAATCTTAACAAAAGAATTCACTCATCCTTATATTTCATTACTCAAGACAACCATACACGTCTTACTTTCTGATTCCAGTTACTGAATACAGTGCCCATCAGTCAACGATGATACTTCAAAAGTTAAACTTTCAAAACTTGTATTACTTTAAGCGATGGATGTACTTCAAGAACCACTGTAAATTTTGGCTTAGAAGAAACCTGACCACTCTACGACAAAACCTTTAAAATGTATATATATTTTTTATAACTTCTATAAAGTTATCTATGCTTCCTTGAGACGAAAGACCTACTTTAAAAACCTCAGTAAATTTTCGATTCGATGAAATCTATACGAATAACTGTCTTCATTAAAATACAAACTACTCCATGCATCTCTAAGATGAGCATTTATAGTAGATCGTCCACAGTCCAACTGCATTTGGTCCTCGCACCCACTATCAACTGAGCTTATCTACAGTGCTATGCACTGCTTGTTCACAAGATATCGTAAATTTTGAAATGAACCCTTTTGTAAATTTAAAACATGCAAAAGCAGCTATAAATTTAACGTTCTTAAACAGATCTTGTACAGATAATTTAACAAAATTACTGCTGAAATAAGAGTCCATACGCCCAGATGCTGGGAGAAGTAGTCTACAAACAAATATTGATAAATAATCTTCGCTGTGAAAAAGATGCTCTGATATGTATATTTTAAAATACATTCGTGTATTTACCATTCATTAGATGTTTCAACGTAGTTTACAAAGACAAAAATGTAAATACACACACATACATATATAGTGTAATATTCTAATTCATTAGATGTTTCAACGTAGTTTACAAAGACAAAAATGTAAATACACACACATACATATATAGTGTAATATTCTAATAGTAACTTACTACAAATAGCAATGTTAGCCATTTAGTTGGCTGTAGTGTGCAATACTTGATTAAAAAGAGTTAAATGCACTTTGTTACAGAAATTTGCATATGCTATGCTAATGCCTTAGTATGTAGCCGCAGGTGTGTGCCATTGCGCCACAGGCGACGTATTTAGCAGTTATGTAATATGTATGCGGTGAATTCCCGAGCATTGGACGTAAAATGTAAATTATAAATACAAAAAGCCTATCCGAAGTGAAATCTTCATATAGCAAAACTGTTAAGTGATACAGAGTCAAATATAACATCATTTCGAAGAAGGAACCTTCAATATGATCTGGGGAAGCGGACAAACACAGACTGAAGGAACCTTCAATATGATTTGTGGAAGCGGAGAAACAGATTGAAGGAACCTTCAATATGATATGTAGAAACGGACAAACACAGATTGAAGGAACCTTCAATATGATCTGTGGAAGCGGAGAAACACAGACTGAAGGAACCTTCAATATGATCTGTGGAAGCGGACAAACACAAACTGAAGGAGCCTTCAACATGATCTGTGGAAGCGGACAAACACAAACTGAAGGACCTTCAACATGATCTGTGGAAGCAGAGAAACACAGATTGAAGGAACCTTCAATATGATCTGTGGAAGCGGAGAAACACAGATTGAAGGAACCTTCAATATGATCTGTGGAAGCGGACAAACACAGACTGAAGGAACCTTCAACATGATCTGTGGAAGCGGACAGACACAGATTGTTTGTGACAGAAACGGACTCTGAAACAACTCTCCATTGCGGAATAACAATTTCATCATTCGCAAGGTGAAGATTGTGGTTATAGCAAACATCCTTTTCAATGAATATGAGATTATTTCTGGACACTGTTCATAAGAGAGAGAGAAAAAAAAAGGTAGACGAAGACTCACAAGGTCAAACGCGTAAATTATTTAAGTCTTCAACGTTTGCATAAACCTATTATATGAAAATTGCGGTTTCCATCAATAGGGTGTAATTATGGCTATCAGAATTAGCAAAATCGTCAACAGAGTATGTGGCTCTAAGGGTAAAATGAAACTTGAAACACAGTTCTTATAAAATGCGATTAACCTTCATTACAAGTCCATTCCACACGCACGTGCGCGAATACATATTAAAAGTATAGAACCTGTATGATAATTGTTTTTTTTTTCACCCTTTGGTAAAGCATATTATATAACAATTTTAAGGTTTAAATAGTGCTTCAATTACACTAAAGGGAGAATAGTCATAACTGATCCAACAGTTGAAGCGATTTAAATAATTTCCTCTTAAAATGAACACGTTACAGATTATTTAACTTAGCATGTGGTAACATATTAAATTTACTTCCTAACAGTATGAGTTAATATAGCAGAATCAGGTAGCGATTCGCTAATGTTTCAGTGAAGTTACCGGGTATGAGCCAATGCATATGTAAAAACGTTTAGCTTATCATACATACTACTTAAAGGTAAGTGGTTCTTCACTGGCATTCGAAAATACGAAACCTCATTTACGAAACTGACAAAAAAAAACTCGCTCTTATAATACAAAAATGAAACTTGTTTGCAATTACTATAACTCCACTTGTTTTTTTTTGTTTTTTGTTGTTGTTGTTATTTTTGTTGTTTTGCTCTAGCATTTTCAATCAAGGGCTATATGCTTATACACGTCCCTAATTTTGAAGTGGCATTGTATTGTCAAGAGGGAAAGCAGCTAATCAACAGTACCAATCACCAATCCTTGGACTACTACTGTCTGGCAGAATAGTAGGTTTTCACCTTCTCTCCCATGGCCCAAATGTGCGAAGACGTTTTTGCAACAAATGGACGCGAGCCATAAATCCTAGGAAATCATAACCGTTAGGCCATGTCCAGCTACAGTTACTGTGAGAATGACAATAACGGATGCCACGTTTAATTAAGTAAATAAGTTACAATAGTAAAAACAAAAACTCTAAACCATAATGAGTTTTAGAGCTATGCAAATGATGTCAACTGCAGATCATAAAGTAAAAGAAACATTGCTCATGATATAAAAAAGGCTCCCAGAATAATGTACATAATGTTACATTTGGCACTGAGTTGACTACCATCTGCACAAACTCAAAATTCCCACCCGGTTTGATAAAAATTGCTTAAACGTTATTTGAATCAAGATGTAACAAACAAGTACGAGATCCATAATAAAAAGTCATTCATAATTGCGCCGAAATTAAAATTTACACGTCTGTTTTTGACAGCAGGCATACATATAAGCGTGTACTACCAGCGTCAAGGAACAAAAAACATAACTACACATAAACCACGTTTTCCTTTAAAAGTTTATCCTCAACATTTTTGATGTCCATGTAGTATCTTTCCTACTTATTTATAAGTTTAGTTACAGTGTTAGTTTTTAAAAAATGAAAATAATAAAATTTATATTTTGCCATGGAAGCAAGAAATGCATTTGATCTAAATTTAGTTACAGTGTTAGTTTAAAAAAATGAAAATAATAAAATTTATATTTTGCCATGGAAGCAAGAAATACATTTGATCTAAATTTAGTTACAGTGTTAGTTTAAAAAAATGAAAATAATAATATTTATATTTTGCCATGGAAGCAAGAAATACCTTTGTTCTAAATTTAGTTACAGTGTTAGTTTAAAAAAATGAAAATAATAATATTTATATTTTGCCATGGAAGCAAGAAATACATTTGATCTTTAACTTATTCAATACATCACCAGAAATCTCTTTTTCAATGTGTCATTTCAACATTATTATGATCGAAACTATCCACTGACAACAGTACACTATGATCGATTTTATTTGTACTATATAAATTACGTTAGTTGGCTGATTGTCAGCAATGATCGTAGTAATACTCAGCTCAAGAGAAACTTAAATATTTTGTCAGATACTATTGTTTGGAGACTTCGAAACTACAACATATATATATTTCTGATCAAACTAATCACATACACGCATTGCGCCGTTATGTTAAATAATTCAACTTGTAATTTATAAACTTTTAAAACAAATTTATAATCCACATAGTTATTTTCTGACAAAAATGCGAGACGTAGCAATCTGGGAGAATTGTAAAAGTGTTTATTATGTACGCAAATTTAAGTCTATGATTTACCATTTATATCAACTTATTGTATTGCTTTGTTACACAAGTCTAATATTGTTTTACGAGCGTTAATTAGCAACTGGATGTAGGTTTGGAATATGATTTACACAGAACATTATGAAAAAACTCGCAAACTAAAACCACTCCGGCTTAATATCGATCAATTATCGACTTTATGCTTGAATAGCGCGTGTGAATAGCTTTCCTTTTCGTTTTTTTTTTTTTTTCATGGTTATAGTATTGTTGCATGTAATTAAAAACCATATGAAAAGAAAACATTTACAGGTTTTGTTTAAGAACAGAACATTTATCAATATCCAATGTTGAATTTTGAGATTTTCAATATTGTTCATATAGCAATAACAAAAGTAAATCGTATAACAGAAAACCAGCATGAGATGTAGTAATAGTTCATGGTACATAACATCTTCATATCAACACATTTCAACCATAATTTGATTTCACTACTAACAGAAAACTCGAGAAATTAAAGTCATCAACATTTGAGATGACAACAAATAGGAGAGAAAGCAGACCGAAATAAAAAAAAAATCACTGCATTCCTGGTTATTTAGTTTTTAAAAAATCAAGACAGACCTTTTAGCTCAAACAACCTGTAGACGAACGCCCAAAATTCAAAACGAGCGACAAATGTGGTGAAATCACGCGCACTTCGTTTCTCTCCTACATAGTAAAGATTGGGTCGATCAGCCAAGGAAGCACAAGAAGACTAGATGTGCCTGCATTAAACCCAAGTTGGTGCCGTCAGCACGTGTGCTGTGATCACGCTAATACAGTTTAAGTTGTTTCCAAGAAGCCGACAGAGTTTTGTCAGCGATTTTCATAGTAGTTTAGCAAACTTGGGTGTTAAAGAACTGTCTATTAGCTGCTCAATTCAGTATTCTGATAAGTTCCTAAGTTAGTTCTAGAGTCAGTGAAGTCACAGCAAGACTGCTAAACGATTAACACCATCACATACCAATTATGTGAGATGACGAATGCCAAAAATGGACACTCGAAGATATTATCCCCCATCTAATATTACATTTCATAATAATCTGGCTTGGCCAGATTTTAATATCGTTTTGGACAGTAATGACAACTGGACTGTGGAGGTCAAAAATACCTACAGCGTAAAGGCGGAACTGAGCGAATTACCTCGGAACTGGGCCGGGCTAGTCACAATTGTTATCATCGTATCTACAATAGTGGGTAATTCTCTAGTATGTGTAGCTATTTCGAAGGAAAGGCGCCTTCAGAACATGACCAATTACTTTCTTATGTCTCTAGCCGTTACTGATCTCATGGTCGCTTTGTTGGTTATGCCAGTCGCCACCGTAATTCTAATGGAAGGTAGGTACACTGTTTAAAATTTCAGTCACGCATGGTGTGTATTTTATGTTTTATATCATCGCTATCTATGCCTGTTGTATCCCAGCCAGCCTGATGAGCCCTGGTATAGAATTAAAGGCCTCGTCGGCAATGGATATGGCAGACGTAGTGTGGTTGACACAATTTGCTTTCACTCATAATTTCTTAGAACTGCATTTTTTAAATATATTTCATAAACTCGGCTGTAATAAGGAACAGCTTCTGAATTATAGGGTGATGTAAAAGTCCTACAATTGTAAAGGTGTTCGATAATCGCACTTTTGGTATCACGAGTGTTATTTTTCCCTTAGGTTGCAGCTTGCTTCCACTCATTCTTGTACGGTCATTGATATCCAAACAGTTATTGTAGCAGAGACACTTGGTGAAACACTAACATGACTTACAAAATACAGTAAGGGCAGGACTTTTGCATTACCCTGTATCATGAAAAACATATACACACAATTTAAATTTAACTGTTATAACTAGAGTAAGGTGTAAGAATTAATTAAAGGGTAATTCTGTTTAAACGTAACTAATACTAATGTTAGTTGTAAGATACAATTTATACGAGATAGTAGACATGCACACTGTTCAAACTTAAGTATATTGAACGGTTTACACATCACATTTAAGTTACAGATATTGTTTCAACTATGACAAATAGTTCGTAAAACGAACTACTCGTAGTACTTCGGTGCTACTCTAATAGAAAGCATGAAAGCTGTCAGCTCGTATATCACATTTAATCTAAGTTCTGAATATACGGTGGTAGATTATTAGACACGCACACAATGGTTTCGTCTAATCACCAGAGCCAAACTCCATGTGGTCCGTCACTAATTTTAAACTGGGAAAAGGCAACCACTTAGTAGAACCCACAACCTCGAGCAGTTACTCTTAACTGACTAGCGGAATTGAGTCACTCTTATAAAGAACCCACAGCTAAATGTGTCAAGTCTGATACGCTAATCATTAGACTTCTCCCGGGTCACAGTGATGTTCTCTGTACGTATAAATGTGAATGTTATGAAAAGTACTAAGAATATACAATGTTTACACTCGCTGCTAGGGTTAAGGAAAGTTTGTATCCTATAGTGTTGTTTTAATAGAAGTAATCAAGACTGTCACTACTGTTTTAGATTGGAGTAAGGACAAAGTCTAATATCACTATTAATTCCATAAGAAACAGAAAGCCTGAGCTCACACTTTCACAACTTAAAAGAAAAATTCGTTTGCTTATTATTTACTTGTATTAATGTATATCTGGAACACTACAGATAACTTACGAACATTCTCTTCAAGTTCTTCCTGACTAGTTTTTACGGATTTATACCAATTAATAGTACTTGCACACACTCGAATATAACCAAGACAATTCCGAGAGTACAGGTACAAGCATACGGGTTACAGCCTTGTTAAAAGTTGTTTTTTACTGAAACTTATCGACTTTGATATCGAAGCGAAATGTCGATTCGCCGCTTCTGAGTTTAACAACAGGCTGTTATGAACTTAACAGTTCATACAATTGCATCGATAGCGACCCCACTCACATCCAACCCATCCACAAATACATTATTACCAATACGGAACTCTACTCCTTTCAAGCGTCAAGAAATGCATAAATCTGACATATACAGAAAGCTGGGTAGGGTATATTTTCAAGACTATATAAAATTCTCAAAGTTTTCCGACTGATACATCCAAATCTATAAAAGTTTAACTTGATAATTAGTTAACATTAAAATAAGTACATAAAATTATAGGTTCTGGATGTATTCGACACAGTTTTATAACTCATATCAAATCGTTTGTTGTGTTTTGCTTTGGCTGGTAACCTTTGGACTTAATTGCTAATAAATATAATAAAAAAATATATACAGTTTCGGTTACGGGTTAATCACAACAGCCTAACTTAAAACGGAAGCACTCATCCAAGCGTTACATGTTACATATTCAAAAACCGCCACTACGAACGACTAGGCTAAGGTTCTCTGGATTATTAACATGGAAATATACCCGCTAGCATTCTCAGCTAGTGTAAGGAGATCAAGGAATAAACAGTGTAGCACGTAGCTAAGTCGGATACGGAAACTTTAATTTGTTCCTGTTTCCTATATATATATATATTATGAAAATAATAATACAATGACAGACTGTTAACATTCGTAACTTTTATGAAGTTACCGGCAATTTCGAGCTTCTAGTCTTTTTCAGCTGTCAAGTGAATGATTTAATAACAGCCAGCCTAGATAATCAAATTGAAACGAAGTAGAGAGGAGGTCAAACTCACTGACATTTCCCTAAGAAAGATCTCAGTAAGAAATACTACAATGTATAAGAAACTAAGTTAAAATTATT